AACTAAAATTCAGGTTTTGTTATAACAATAAAAAATTTAACTAACTGTAACTGTGGTAATTATCACTAGTTACACAAACAATTAACTTTAAATTAGTTATACAGGGTGGATATAAACGATAAGTTATTCTTTTTTTGATAGTAAAGTTGTGTTTCTTTTATCAGTTATGCTTTGTATTATTAGTGTTAGTTGTGCTTTGTATCACTATTCAGTACTTTATCTCTGGTTAGTGCTTTTTTATATATTGTTAATATTGTTTATTTGGTGCTTCTTTTGCTAGTTAGTTCTTATTTTATTGGTATTATTCTATTTAGTGCTTTTTTGTCAATTGGTGTTTTACATCACCAAGTTCAATACTTTTTGCTAGTTGTTTTTATTGGTTTGAGTTTTTTCTTATATTATTAGAGTCATCAAGTTCAGTGTATTTTTTTTTATTGTTGTTTAGATTGTTGCTTTCTTTTTCATAGTACATTATCTGAAATAATGAGGTTCTCGACTATATAGCTAAGTATTAAAATTTTTTTGCTTTTAATATTGTGTTTGTGTAATACTAATTCAAGTTCAGAATAGGTATCCATCATGTTTCACTTTTTTAGTGTATTACTGTATATTTTTGTCAATGTTGATGCTAAGTTTGTATTGTGTTATATTTGGTGCTTTGTTTGTTATTTTATTCTTCATGCTGTGAGAAATGTTTTTCAATTTTCATATTAGACTTTGATTTTTGTGACATTGTAGTTAGAATTTAGTCATTAGGAGAATTGGTTTAATATTAGAGTTAGAGTTAAAATTAAGATTGGATTGAGCAGAAAAGAAGCAAAGCAATACAAGCTATATAAATTATAATTAGGTGGTATATAAGAAAGACAAAGTTATTTGTCACATATGTGATAGTGGCTTATATATTACGAATCATTAATTTGTCAGAAAATATATCACATATATAAAATAAAATAATCACATATTACTATTAAATATCACAATCTAATATTTAACTATCAAATGTCACAATCTAATATTTATTAAATTTTACAAAATTCAAAAAATAATATCTTAAAAATTATATTAAGATATATAAGCAGCAATACTAATTTTAAACTCCAAAAATGAATATTTATAAATATTAAATTTAATGTGACCTTGAATAGTCTAAATCAAAAAAAGAATTATTTATACTCGAATTCATTAACAAAGAAAATATGCAAATACTTACTCTGATCTTAATTTTTAAGAATGAATGTCTGGAGAAGTTAAATTCTATACAATTTAGCAAAACCTAAAAGCAATAAATATATAAATAAGTTAAATAAATTATTTAATCTACAGCTTTCATAACCCAGAACTTATCACAAACAAAAAACTTACCCAAATTCTGACCTATAAAAGGGTGTGTTTAAAAGTTTAAATTTGATACAGTCTTGTATATTCTAAAAAAGTTCTATATAGCATGTACGATCTTGAATCAAAAAAAATTCCTATAACCACCTTTTATACTAACCTTAACAATATAAAAAAGAACTATGCTAGAACTCACCCTGACCCTAACTTTCAAATAAAGTGTTTGTAAAATTTCAATGAAGTTCAATATAGCATTCATGGTCTAATTCAAAATAAAAAAATTAATTTTCTATAACCACATTTTATCCTAACTATAATAATACAAAAAGAACTATACTGGTACTCACTCTAAATCTAACCTTTAAAAGGCTTGTGAAAGTTCAGAGAAGTTCTGTATGGCTTGCACAATTTAATTTAAAAGAAAAAAAAAATTAATTTCTTATAATCATCTTTTATTTAAACCTTAATGCAAAATAAACTATGTTAATACTTATCCTAATCCTAACCTTTAAATGAAGGCATATAAGTCAAAAAAGTTCTACGCAGCTTGCACAGTCTAATTCAAAAGAAAAAAAATTAATTTCCTATAATCACCTTTTATACTAATCTTAACAATACAAAAAAAAACTATGTAGTACTCATCCTAACCCTAATCTTAAGGAGACGTTTGTAAATGTTTAAAGTTCTATATGGCTTGCACAATCCTGACTCTAAATAATAATAATAATAATAATAATTTCCTATAACCACTCTTCATCCTAACCTTAACAATGTAAAAATAACTATGCTATTACTCACCCTAACCCTAATCTTTAAAAGGAGACGTTTGTAGATGTTTAGAGATTTATACAGTTTGCACAATTTTGACAAAGAATAAAAATAATAATTTTCTATAACCACCTTTTATTCTAACCTTAACAATGTGAAAAATTACTATGCCAGTACTCACCCTAACCTTAACCTTTAAAAAGAGATGCTTGTGAATGTTTGGAGAAGTTTATACTGCTTGCACAGTCTAATTCCAAAAAAAAAAAAATTAATTTATTATAGCCTGCGGTAACTTTAATATGAAAATAAACTTTGCTAGTGCTCACTAACCTTAAAGTAAAATGTAAATTCTATATGGCCTTGAACATCGATACAAAAAGTGAATTACAATAATGCACATCTAAATTTTAATCTTTAAAAGGAAATGCTTGGAAAATTAAACCCTATACTATTCGCATCTAAAATATATAAAAAAAAGAAAATGTTAGTTATATTATAGTCATTCTAATCTTAATAAGAAAAAGAATACTTAACTCAGTTCTGATTTTCAAAAGGTTGCTTGAAAATATTTTAAGAAATGTTAATAACTATGCAATTCTAATCATACTTATTAATTATTATTAGGATAGATTTCAATTTAAAATATTAATTTGATATCAATTTGAAACATTAATTTGCTATATTAATTTAACATAATTATAACATTACATTATACAAAGAAATTCTATAACATTTACATTATATTGCACTATTTGTTAGAACAATTTCATTTATCATATTCCTTACTTTTGCAAATACTACACTGACAAGAAGCACAGGACGAAGTATCAGCTGAATGTTTACTTTTTTTTGATTGTTCAATTGCTGATTTTATTTGCCTTTTAGGAGGACACCCTTTTCCAATATGTTTAAGTGGATTCTGAATATCTAGTTGTGTGGTTTCAGTATCTTGATCAGATTTAATTACTTGATTGTTCTGTTCTATGGTTTGTTTGTTACATTGTCCTTCCTCATGTGTATGTATCCATTCCTTAAATATTTTCATTAAAATGTCTGAATCATTCAAATCATCATAATTAACCAATTTTACATATTTATGAGCAAGTCCAAGTAATGATCCTTTAATTGATTGTTTACAGCCAATTGCTTTTGCTGTAGTTTGTAATGGAGGTTCAATAAGCATAGTACTCCACGAATTAACAACGTCCAAAAAAGAAGGCAAGGACGATGTTGAACTGTTGTCTTCCAATGACTTTCCTCTAACAAATGGCTCATCATTAATCATCGCATCTGCAAATTCATCTTTGTATCAACATTTTGGAATAAGAGAAATATGAAAGTAGGCTTTTTCAGACTGTAAAAGAATACAAAACCAATGGCGGCAAATGATCTCACTATCAAGTAATAAAATACATATACATAAATGAAACCCATTTTTTAACAGCACTACGTTTTGTCCAACATATAACTTATACTCGATTGATTGAACTTCCCAAACCTCAGCAATTAAAGAATAATCAACCCTTTCGAAAAGTTCATTAAACCGTATTTGTTGAAAATCATATTCAAATTCAATTGGTCCATTATTAACCACTTCTAAAGTTAAATTATCTAGATCCTCAAGATCAACCTTTTTATAATAATACATTACTGCCTCATTCATTTGGTCCATATATAATTATAAAATTTTAGGTGTTATATATTTTTGCAAAACATTATATATATTCAGAAAAAGTTATCCAGGAACACTGGGTGTCATATATGATGTTGTTTTTTCACGCCAAGCTGCAAACCGACTTGCGAATTGTTCTTCTGCAACACATGATTCAATTCGTTTGAACAAGGTATAAAGTTGTGTTTTTTCATTTATAGCCCGTTTAATTATGCTATTTATTGATTCTGACCATTGGGTAAATATTATTCCTGCTATAAAAACTCAGTCTGTAATTGCTTTTGCACAGGTTGTTTTATATGGATCAAGCTGCCTAAGTAAGTATTTAGTTGATTCTGAAAAATCAATCATTAGCTGTTTCTAATATCTCTCAAATGTTTCTTTATATAAAACATTTCAGGCACGATAAAATGTCTTAATAAAATCTGAATAACAGTCACCAAGAAGCTTTGCAAGCTGCTTTTCAAGATTATGTCCAATATGCCAAATACAATGGAGAAGGTAAGTATTAGTGTATATTTCATAAACAACACTTTCAAGACCTAGGTCTGCATCGATCATAAATTTGCCAGGCTGGACTCCTGTAGCTTCAATTGTTTGCTATAGAACCTATCTATAACTTTCACTTGTTTCATCAGGCAATATAGCCTGTACAATGATCTGTGATCTAAAATTATTGTCTACAATAGCAAAAATGCTTAATGGCAAATTATAGGTATTAGTTGATGCTATATTATCATTTAAAATGATATCTGCATAATGTCACCAAAGTTCTTTTTGTTCAGGAGTCATACAGAACACACCCTGTAATCTATTTGTTTCTGGATCAATCCATGATTGAACATACCAATCGGGGTTCTTGGCATGCTCTTTTTCAAAGTACTGTAAAAGATTTGCAGCATCACCACCCTCTATTTCATGAGCATGGCAAAACTTATATATATAGTTTTTCACATTATAATCCACAATTGTTGCTTCAGGAAATAACCTACAAAGTAACTTAACCTGAGATAATATATTAAGATTACAAAGCGTATAGCTTTCAATAAGCTCCTTCATTTCTGTAGTAAGTTTTAATAATAAGTAGCAAAGTAGCATTTTCAGGAACTAGCTGGTGACTGTGTTCAAGATGCATTGACGTCAACTTAATTATAGTTTCATTATTAGGCCTCTTACTCTTAGACGCATTCACAAGGAAAGGACAACCAATTTTTTTTTGATCCCTTATTTCTTTGCTTTTCAGGTGGAGAAGTTTTATGTAATACATATTTATTAGATCATTCACAGTCCCAGGTACGTTGGTATAGATCATAGCTATTATCTACCCGCTTCTTCCTAATCACAAAATTATTTTGACGTGCATAATGTTCTAGTGTCTCTTGATATTCTTCCCATGTTTCAAAGGTTTTTTCACAATAGAGTTCAATACGAATTAAAGGTAGATGCCCAAGTTGATTATTATCAGAATCATTAGAGATGCACTTGTCATTATATGGTTCACCATTAATATCAATGTCTTTGTCAAGTTCAATATCAATGTCCTTGTCAAGTTCAATATCAGGTTCATTTTCCGTATCTTTCTCAAGTTCAATTCTAAGTTCGCCTTCAGTATCCTTTTTAAA